CCAGCTGGTGTTTGCTGCAGCTGGACTTCTTCCCTGCTTACAAGTTTACATGATCTCATAGAAAATTACCCAGGATCTGCTTTTGTGGTCGCAGAAATGTTTTCTTCTACATCTACCTGACTGCAAAGCAACTACTTACCCTGTGCCATTTCTCACCTCTGCAGAGGGATGGCATCTCACAATGCTCCCTGATCTTTGGGCAGAGGCAGTTGGGATACTGCTGGCCACTGTCACTGCCTCTTCTCCCTGACTTTCAATTAGATTGAAGCATATTCATGGGATCCTTTTTGGCTGGTAGGGTGGGAAACCTGCAGCAAAGGCTGGGAACAGTCATGTGACAGATGCTAGGCCCAGCGGAGACCATCCCCCTGTGGCTGGAGGTCACCTTGTGCCCCTGCTCAGCTACACTGAGCTGTGTGTTTTGGCTCCTTCATCTACAGCCACCTCCAGTCTGCCTGAGGAGTGAAGCAATTTCCTGGGTAACTGGAAAACTGGCTTGTGCTAGACAGGGTACTGCTGCAGTTGAAGTAATTAAACCCCTCCCAGTGTAGACACGGTTAAACTGAGACATGTCTTTTAGCCTGGTTTCCTATGGAAACAAGCCTTATGCAACCCTGCTCTCTCTCAGCCTTTCTCCGCCTTCTCCTCCCCAGTACTTTGTGCACTGGTTGGCCAACTTCAAGCAAATTCAACGCAAGTTTCCAGGCTGTTAATTGTTCAGATTTCATGGCAATAGGTGTTTGCATGGAGCTCCTGTGGGAGCTTGTCTTGGAAGGAAAGGCTGCAGTGAGGCTTGGACTCATACTGGTCACTAGAGAATCCTGGTATGGAAGAAGGCTTTGAAATGCCTCTTCCGTGGGAACAGATGGACTTGGAATCTGCACCTGGATAAAACATTGCCTTGCAAGCACGGCAGGATCAAACTTGGGAGCAGTTAATTTTCTTTAGCTGTCTTCTCTGTTCTTCTGCTGGAAGTCCACCTCCCTGAGCAAGGGGACTGAGCTGGGCAGGAAGTACATCCTGAAATGCTGCTGTTCATAGCCTGCTTTAATAAAATAGTCTTAAATGAGTACTGTTAAAATACTCTGGCTGCAAGTGTTAGTGTTTTAGAAGCTATTCCTGC